CTTAGATCGACCTTCGTGGTAAGATTTATGTGGGGGTGGTAAACCTTTTTTTTGCGGATTTTCAAAGGCTTTCAAATTTTATGTGTATATATTAAGTAAATTTATTTTAGATTTTATATGTAATAATATTAACTAAAGATATTTTTTATTTTTTTAAATTTTTAATAAAGACTACGTTTTTATTTAAAAAATAGTCTTTTCAACAAAAATTATGTTTTTACCTTTGAAACATCATCTTTGTTGAATTCTAAAAAATATATTTTTCATATTTTCGATAAATACTGCATTTTTATCTTAAAAACATCGTTTTTCCAACAAAGATTACATTTTTTTCATAGAAACATTGTTTTTATCGAATTCTAAAAATTATTTTTTTTCATATTTTCAACAAAAAACACATTTTTTTATCTTAGAAATGTTGTTTTTATTGAATTCTGAAAAATATATTTTTTCACATTTATACAAAAACTATATTTTTATTTTAGAAATGTCATATTTTTAACAAAGATTATGTTTTTTTTTTTATTTTAAAAATGTCATTTTTGTTGAATTATGAAAAATAATTTTTTCATCTTTTCAACAAAAATCGTATTTTTAATCATAAGTTTTGTGAGGATTTAATAGCTCTACTTTAAAAACATGATTTTTGTTTAAAATATATTAAGAAAAAATTTATTTTCATAATATTTTATAAAAAAATATTACATTTCTAAGGTAAAGAATGTTGTCTATATAATTTGAAAATACAATTAACTAAGGGTAGATGGAAAAAAAATTTACTTTTCCTTTGGAATCTTAAAAACCCCAAAGGGAAAATAATTTTTGATTCTCCCTTACTTCTTTACTTATTGATACTATTGAAAATTTTAAAAAACTCCAATAATCACATTCTTGTGAATCAAACAAAAAATAAAATTATAAAAAATAAAATTTTATGAAGGAAAATTATTTTTCCCAACCAAATGGCCTTTTAGGATCAGTTCAAAATGTATCACACTTGCAATGAAAATACAATTGGTAATAAAAAATTGTGCCAACAATTACTTTATAATCCAAATAACTTTGTAATGTGATGTGAATTTCGTTGATTTGTCACTGGAACTTAAGGTTCCAATCAACAATCCGTGTTCTTTATTATTATTTTTTTTATTGTTCTTTCATATTGACAAGATTTAAACTTTTTATATTTTACATTTATTTAAAAATATTAATCTTGAATTGATTTTTATTTTGAAATGACAAACCATTAAGCTCAATAAACTTGATCAAGATTTTGAAAAAATTTTATTTAGTACATGTTTTTAAGTTTTATTATTTTGGTACTAAATAAATAATATAATTTTCAAAGTTTAAACAAAACCTTTCTCTATGTTTTCTTATTTCTTAAATTAAAACCATTTTTAAACATTATTTATTTGAACTAAAATGAAAATCTAATTGTTGTTTTTAAAGTGAACATATTCATTTTAGACTCAATACAATTTTGATAATATTGGTTTTGAGAAATAGATTAACTTAAAAAAGTTGTTTTACAAAAACAAAGTTTTCCAACATTGAACTTATTTTATTTTTTTGTATTAATTCACAAAGTTTTAATATTTGAATTTTATATGGTTGGAAAACTCTTTGAGTCTACTTTCTAATGGATTAACAAAATCTAAATTTTTTAAGAAAAGATTTTAAATTTTCACTAGACACTATGCAGTTGTTTAAAAACTACACATGAGGTAGATTTGAAAATTCATTAGAACTCGAATACAATGAATTAGATGATGAATTTTATATGGATAGAAAGCCCTTTAAGTCTAGTTTTTAAATATTTAAACATTTTTTAATTTGGAGTTGTATAACTCAAGATAGGATCAAATTAGTGAGTATAATGTAAAATAAGAGACAAACAACAGTACAATTCATTCAAAATTATTCAGTATTCAAAATCTGACTGACCCAATCAATTGGTTACCAAACCAATCGATTCCCTTTGCTGTAACGATTAAAAATTAAGCGAAATTCAATAACCAGTCGAACCCCTATCAATACCAATTGATCATTTCATCCTAAACAAGCTTCAGCGACTAGTTTCAAAGGAAGATAACATATATTTTCATTTCTCAAGCATTTTCAATAGCTATTTCCTCAATTCCTTTATAAATTAGGCATTCCAACACATCCAGAAGGTTGATGAATCAAGAGAGTAAGAACCAACAAGCTATATTTTTATTTTTTCAAATAATCAAGAGTTGTTAGAGCTTAAAATCTGTACTTTTTGTATTTGTTGTATCGAAGCTATATTGTGTTGTTCATTCATTATATTTTTTTGTACATTAGGCAAACACTTAGCTTTTGAGAGGTGTTTTAAATTTGTATTTTTATTTAGTGATTTTGTAATTAAAAGGTGAGGTATCCTCTTAAATTTATGATATTGAAAGGTTGCTACTTAGCCTAAAAAGTAGAAAGTGTTAGGTTACTATTTAAGCCTTAAAAAAAAGATAGAATTGTAATTTCAATTTAAGAATAGTGGATTGAAGCTTTGGTATGGATAACCAAGAGAGGACATAAGTGCCTTGAAAAAAAAGATTGAATCTCTATAAGTCTTAGTGTTTGATTTCTCTATCTCTACGCTCTTACATTTATTATTGTTTATATTTGATTCTAGGCTTATTATTTATTATTGATAGCATCATATTTTCATTAAAGAGTATATTATTTTTAATCTTACATTTAATTATTTTGAAATCATTGTTTGACAAGATTTTAGAGAAATACAATTCGCCTTTTTTAGATCACTATCTCACCATAATAGGTAACAAAAAATTATTAAGTAATTTTGCTATTCTAATATAAAATAATTTTTATTATTATATAATAAAAGTTTCAATCTCATTGGAATCAATTTTACCATCCATGTAAGACTCCGTTTGTTTCATGAAAATTGATTTCCAAAAAATGTTTATATTTTCTAGAAAAGTAAAGATTTTTTATTTTTTAGATGTGTCAATGATAAATATTTTCTATTGTTTGATTGTTTTTGAAAAGTCTATTTTTTATAAAAAAAAAAAAGTTTCACATAACTATTAAAATATTAAAAATTATTTATAATTAAAATATATTAAAATTATTAATATTAAAAAAATTATATTTTAATAATAATATTTAATATTAAAACATTATATGAATATAACAAATGCGTAAAACTAAACTATTTATTATTTATATCAATATTTTAAAATATTTAAAATAGTATTATTTTTTTAAAATATTATTTTTATTAATATAAAAATATTAATAAAATAGGAATATTTATGATTAAAATATTAAAAATATTTATACTATTTAAATAGTTATATTTTATATTGAAAGTATTTAATATTAAATCATAACAAAAAAATTATTTATTTATATTTATTTCTAAAATAATAATATAAATACATTAATAAATAAAATTTAAAATAATATATTTTAAATTTTAAAAAATAATCAATTATTAAAATATTCATTTTATGAAAATAATAATAATTTTATATTATTTAGTATTAATCATTAAAATAATAAAATTATTTAATATATTATTACTCTTTATTATAATAATATAATACTATTTAATATTGAAATATTAAAAATATTTATGTTTAATAATATACAAAATTAAAATATTTAAAATAAAAATATCAAAAGACCTTTAATGAATATTTAAATTTTTTAATTATATCTAAATAAAGATATTTATAAATATAATAATATTTCACATTGGAATAAATGAAGTTTAAGCTTAAAATTTCATGCTCAAGGTCTTATTTGAGTAGAATTATAAAAATAGTTTTAGAATTAAAATATTAGAAAATTTGTAATATTAATATTTTAATTATTTTACGTAAAATTAAATAAAAATATTTTTTATTAATATATAATAATATTTTGATTTTAATCAAATTAAGTCTAAACTTTAAAAAATCATATTTAAAGTTCAACTTGAATATAATTATACTCACAAGCTTTGTAAGTAGTATTTTTCATAGACAATTTTTGAAATAGACAATTTTTTTCAAAAATTGTCTACCACTTTTCAAAAGAAAAAGACAACTTTTAAAAAAAATAATCTCATTTATCATCGTTAAATAAATCATTTTTTAGTAACCAATTAATTTTTTTTTCATGTACATATAAAAAAAATATTAAAATTATTTTTTAAAAATAAACTTTCACGAAATAAATAGAGCTTAAATAAACCCTCAAAAAGAGGTTAGCTTACTTTTGAGAATGAAAGACCTTTTTTGTTTTTTGTTTTTTTTTTTTTAAAACCAAGCCCCAACATTTCCCAAATGTATGGATATGGACCTTCTATAAGTTGAGGCCTTGAGGAACTACGAAAAGTTCCAAGGCTTCACCCACTCCTACTTCTGAGTATACAAAAAGGCATCACCATTAACCTTGTACGATGAGGTCTGTCCAAACTTAGCAGCAAAAAAGAACTTCAAAACTTCAGTTAGAATTTGCAGTCCTGGCAGGGGATTTTTTTTTTTTAATCTTTTCCTTTTCTTCCTTGTTACTAATTGAGATTATTTAGACGTATTTATTTTGGGTAACACAGTTTGACTGTTAGAGAATGCTGTTCTGAATTTAGTTGGAAAAAAAAAATTTGTAGTACCAATTTAAATTTTAGGTACATATACCATCAAGGATTTTTCTAAAAGACGTTAATGGTACTAATATTCAGTTCAAATGGGAAGGTTACCCTTGGGATATCGTTCAATCAAGCTAAGTGCTTTAAATGCAACTCAATTGGAAACTCTTATGGTCTTTCCTTCCTCAACCGTTTAGTTAACCATTTAGCAAAAAATCTTTTGAAGGTACTACTACTTAATAGAGACACAGAAAAAGAGAGCGATGAAATATTGGCCTCTCATCATTAATATCAATAAAATACAATATACAGTACTAATCAATATTAAGATAAGAGCATTTCTTTCGTAATTTGTACGATCACTTTGAATATGCCAATTCAGAAAAACACCATCATATGAGAGTCCTTGGAGAGACGAAAGAAAGTAAAATAGACAATTCAGCCATTATATCCGTTTCAATGCAACTATTTGCATTTTAGCATGCAAGCCAAAATTAAATCAATCAATAAAATAGTAGCATTACCATTACGAGTGTAAAATTCTTTGATACATTGAGTCAACTTCAGTGAGGTAGTCCGAGGGGAGGCTACCTTCCTTGCTCGTGACAAAGTCCTTTGCTCCATGGTGGTTTGGGCAAAGAATAAATAGGATAGAAACATCCAGAGTCAAAAGATAAAAGCATACTATCATTAGAATAATTTTTACACCTGACTGCTAAAATCATGCGTGAGTCAGTTATGACATCTACTCAATGCACCACTTCAGCTTTAGAAACATCTGAAAACTGACCATTTTCACTTCCCAGAAAATAAATACAAAAGCAAAGTTTAATTAACTATTTACTTAATTCCTTCGGCTTTAATTCTTTATTCCGGCTTTTAAACTTGATATCCCAAGATAAATTTATGCAAGCATTTAAAAGCATGCAATTTCCTTGCTGAAATTGCTCACCTGAAATTATAAATTTGCATTTTTTGGTAGAAAAAGAAAGAAATTAATAAAGCAGAAATTCAACAAGGAGTTGAAATAATTTACATATGGTAACACGAGGAAGGAAATTATTCAACCATCTTATCCCATATTTCATAGTAAGTACTTTCTTGACCTTGAAAACAAGACATGCACAAGCTGAAGTTGGTAAACATGGCAGAGTAAGAGGAACTAAGAAGGAAGAAATACCTCGTGTCTCAAACTCAGCCTCTCTGAAACATTCATCAGTACTGCAAAATTAAACAAATTAAAAGGATATTGACCACCTCGAAGTTTGAGAGAGGAAATTGTGGCAGTTAAAATACTTCCATGTAGGAACATGACTACCCATTTGCCTGCCCAATAAAACGAGCACAGTTTATGCTCGAAAAAAGTTTAAACAAGAAGATAGGGTGTTCAAAAATTTGATAGGCAAAACAAAACAAAGACACGATTAAAAGGATTCTTAACAATGAGTTATGCCCAAGCATGTTACATGCGAAGAATGTGCCACCTCGTTTTTGGCAATATGCATGAAGACTTCAGCTCCCAAGATCAAACACAAGGATTTTAATGGAGCTAGATTTTGCACATTCAGAAAGCAATTTGAAAAGACTATCAAACCAGCATCAACAAAGAGTTATCTTTAAGGGGAGTGTTAAAATATCAACAACTACTTTTTCTAAACTTTTCTAGATTTTTGAAGTGACTTATTGATATTTTAGCCAACTATCTAGAATATGTAAATCAGTTATAAACCAACATATGCAATGCTTGATATTTTAGTACAATAGACTAAAAATGAGGCACTAGAAGTTTCAGGGTTGGTGAATCAAACCAACATAGTGAACTATAAATAGGAGCTAGTGTGTTGTGTGTAGTTTGTGTGGAAGTAGCCAGTGAGTGTGTGTAAGTAGCAAGTTAAAGAATGTGCCGTGAGATAATGCGTGAAAAGTGTGGAGTGTAAGGTGCAAGTGACATGAATGACAAAGAAAATGTTTTGGCGAGTGTGATAGTTCGAGAATAAAGAAGGAAATGAGGAAATAAATATTGTGTATGCAAGTATGTGAAAATTAGAGTGTGAGTTGTATATTTTGTAATTAGTCACTTTGTTTGTATGTGTTTGTATGTGCTGCTCGAGTCTTTCTTCTCTCAACAAGTGGTGTCAAAGCTACACAAACTCTTCTGAACAAGTTGCAGTCCAAGATCCAGAGAAAATATCAATAACAATCATTGAAGAAAAGCTGAGTGAAACTCTTCTAAACAAGCTGCAGTCCAAGATCCAGAGATAATATCAATAATCAAAATCTAAGAAAAGAGAATTAATCAAATTATATTGATCAGAAATCAGAATGGTATACTTAGCTACCTTACTATAAGGAGAATGACGACAAAATCATAAGCATCTGAAATTGAAAATGTCCTACCCTTTAGTTTCCAGTACCTATACATAGCAGAAGAAGATGATCTTTGAGTGGCACAGATGGGCATCAGACAACTATGTTTCTGTCAATGCAGTCAATGCAGCAAAGACATACTTTTCAAAGAAATTTTTGTAGCAAAAATCAAGTTCCATAAGATGACAAGTTTATGCAATTTTCCATCTAGAACCTATAAGAGCAAATTGAAAGAGTGCAAAGGGAGAAAAAAAAAAAATCAGTACTCACGTGCAAGATTTGGCTTGTAAAAATCATAGGCATGTGACATACGACTTCCCTGAATCTGCTCTCAAAAGCAATAGGAGCATTTGGCCCGATCAGCATGGCAATTGCAGTTGCGCCTTCAATTGGCTGAGCTGGCCCTTCTGCATATACCTGCAACAGGAATTGCTGTTGTGAGATATCCTTAAATTATGACAATCAACTTGTTAGAATAAGAATATGGATTTGATACATATATCACCAATAGTGAAGACACTTTCATTTCATTCAGCATGTGAGAGACTGAAAGTTTTGCAAACCTTGAAAAACATGTGCTCCCAATGCTCACCATTGTGAGCCTTCAATGCTTCCTACAATGATATTGATAATAATAATAATAACCACTATTCTTTAAATTTCGGTTGAATCAGCTTAATCAAATCAAATTCCAAACAAAATGATCGAAAGGACAGACTTAATTCTTACCTGATAAATTGAAGTAGGAGGGAAGTAGATATCGATGGCAAGAATTCCTACATTTTCAAAACAGGAAGCCATTTCTGTTTTAGATAGGCACGGTAATGGATAGTAAATAAAAAAATATGTTATCATCTGATCCATTTATGTCAGATTTGGATGGTTATAATCGAATAATTAATAGATTTGAATAAAAGATTTATTATTCGTGATGGATTCGGATACAAATAATATCTTTTGGATATTTAATATCTAAATCGGTTTTTGTGAATAGCGGATACGGAAGCCATTTCTGTTTAAGATTCTTGTCTGGGCATTGAGAAATGAGAGAAAGAAAAATTCTTTGTCGCAAATCAGTAAGTAATCCGCCCCTGATGACGCCAACTCAACTACCTCCTTTTTCAAGCAAAAATCCAACCTATCACTTTGTTTTGCCCACACGATCTTATCTTCAAATATAGCCATTCGTATATATTTGTGTCAAATAAAACATTAAAATTTATATATCCATATTATATTTTACATAAAATTATTATCAAAATTTGTGTTAATATAAAAACGTAAAATTATATTTTTTATTTTGTTAAATTTATATATAATTATTGTTAAAATTTTAAATTGTATCATCTTCGTATTCTTTTTCGTATCGTGTTCATATTGAATCACCATGTCACATCACTATATCGTATTTTAGATTGTCAAATCTACTTATCATCCTAAGTGCCCATGCTATGTTGGTTTTATGTCCGACCCTCTTAAGCTAACAAAGAATGACCAGCAGAGATTGAATGGTAAGCTGCTTGGACTAGAGCTTGCCACTTTTTCAACCCTAATTAACGCTCATAGTTTGAATCCATATTATCTCCCCTGAATGTTCTATCAACTATATGCCATTTGCATATCACAACTACCAGAAGTCATTTTAACACTTCTTGTATAAACTTTTCTTTGTGATTACAATGAATATGAGAATTTAAGAAAACTATCTGCAAGGATTGGATGGAGAAAGAAAATGAATAGATGACTGATTTTATTAATCTTGAGATCTGCAATTTAGGCAATAAAAGAAATAACAGAGTGATAACAACAATTAAAATTCATACTGGGAGATTCTATATAATACCTCAATTTTCTTCATCCCATCTCATCTCATCTCAGCCTCAGTTTTTGCTTTTTGATGGTTCTCCCATTCTTGAATTTTCATTTCTTCACGTTTGAACTTGGATAATTGCCTCATAACTTTACACTTCAAGTTACAGAGGAGTGTTAACCAAAAACTACCATTGCATAAGTGGAATGCCGATTTTTATATATAAATAAATTACCCTGTGTCCTTAACAACCAAGTGCCATATTCCAAAAACATAAGAAGATACAAAAAAAAATTTATAAATATACAGACGCATCTATGGAAGCATATATTTCTTTACATGTCCATGCACTAAATGAAAAGATGTTAAGTGTTGTTTAAAAGCTTGTCAAACTAACAGATCAATGCCATGCAAATTTTCCCATAGAAAACTGTAAACCATGATCATATGCGGTGGTAAGTTATATGCTTAGGATCAATATTTAAGCTTCATAAAATAACCAAAATGATTCAAAGTAAGAAAATATATATATATATATATATATCAAAAGAGGCCTTCACAGTTTCTTAGAAAGAAAATACCTGGCCATATACTCGACTTTCTCTGCCTCCTCTCATGCTGCTGCACGGGCTTCAATGACATTTTTAGCTGGTTGTTTTTGTGCTACAGTTTGGGGCTATACCTGCTGCACCAGCCGATGACGGACGACGGACGATCGATGTCGCGGCGGTGAGGGGAGAGTGGCAGAGATCAGTCAGGGAGAGAATGGGTTAAGGGGTTTTAGGGATTTCAACGCAGGGGAGAAACGAGAAACGAGAAACGATTTGGGGATTTCATTTTTATCCGCATGGATTCCAATGCAAATTCCGTTGCCAAACTATTTATTTTATTAAATTTGATTTAGTTTATTTTTTTAAATAATTTATCGATGAAATAATCTGTCCTTTATCGATGAATATTAATAAATTATTTCATCTGTATTTCTTACGTTAAAATTTTATTTCTACCAATAATTTATTTATGAAATACCAATAAAAAAATTTTTATCGATAAATTCTTTTGGTAACTATTGAATTAATTTACAATTATGTTTTATCCATAATTAATGATAAAAATTTTTTATCAATAAATGGAATAGAAATAAAAAGAAGAACTTAAGCATTATTGTCCAAAAATTCCAACTGAAATCTAGTATTCACCGTTGCAATTTAGAATGTCCAATCATCAACTGGAGAAATGGTGATATATATATTTTTAAAATTTTTTGATATTTGATAATTATTTTAAATTTTGATTAATCTTAAATTAAATTAAATCGAATGAGAAATTTTTTAAAATTTTTTTTTATTTATAAAATTTAAAATTTTATTTTAAAAAATATTAAATTTTTTATCATTCAAATTGATAAATATTGTTGAAAAATGATGATATTAATCTCACTAAAAGATGCTATCCAAACGAAGTCATGGTGCGATTTGAGGGGAAGAGGCATAATTACACCGTACTGATGTTGCGGTTTATTCCAAATGTAGCGTCAATATTATAATTTTAGTACTACTAGTTTTTTTTTTTTTTTAAAGAACACGATTAAAAGTTATTACTAAAAGCAACTGCAAAACTATTTACTGCATTGAAAATGGATATATTGTAAATTTGTTATCCATATTTTTTATCATGTAAATTACTTTCATGTTCCCTAAATTTTTAAGATGAATAATTGTTTTAATATTTAAATTTTAAAAAATAATAGATTGATCTGTATATTTTGATGGCAGTAACAAAATGATCTTCTACATAAATAAAATTATTATCCATACGTTATAAAAAAAATTATAATGTAAAATAATGTAGTGATAATATTATAAGTGTAAGGTTAAAAGATACAATAATGATTATGAAAGAAATAAAAGTTTGATAAAATTTGTTTTTTAATTAATTTTTGATGGAAATTAATTTTTATGTATTTTTATTGTTATTTTTGTAATTTTAATTTTTAAATCAATAATATTTTAAAAAAAAAATTGTTAAGTTACAATTTGACTTATCCATAAATTGAGCTGATAACCAAATTCACTACATCAAATAAAACTAGATTCAAATCGAGTTTTAGATATAATTTTTAAAATTTAAGTTTGACCCAATCAAATTATTATTTTATTAATAAAATATTTTATTTAATTTATATTTTAAAATATATTTTAAAATATTGAAATATTTAGATAAAAATAAATTTTTAATATTTTAATTTTTAATAGTAAAATGGGCTTATTTAGGTTCATAATTGATGAGCCAAGTTGGACTTTAACCGAAACTTTGAAAGTATTATTCAAGTTTGGTTCCATTCATGAAATTTTAGTTCCATTCATTAAATTTGTCATTTTCTATTAGTAAGTGATAGCGAGAAATTTATCATATTTAATTAAAAAATTTATACTAATATTTTAAACTAAAAAATTTGACTTTTGAAGAAACATTCATGATGAAGAAATATTGTAAAATTAATGACAAATAGACAAAAAATTTTTTTATAATAATCTATAGCCTCATTGGATGTTTTAAATAAACAACAAATAAATTTACAAAAAAATAAGTAATTTTCATTTTCAAGATATAGAATTTTTTTTTTCAATCCTAAACCTGAATAAAAAAAAATACTAACAAAATTAAAGATAAAAAGTAATTTTATTTTTGATATAATTATTAAAATTACTAGTATTTTGTTTTTAATAAATATTTATTATTATAACTATAACAATTAAAAAAAATTTATCATTATCCATTTTTGTAATTTTATTTTTAGAATTGTATTAACGATTTTCTAATTAGGATTATGACCATAGAAATATACAGACCAATAAATTACTTTTTAAAATTTGAGGACGAAAACTATATTCACCTAAAAATTTAAAGATCGTAGAAATAATTTACTCTTGTTTATATAATTTTTTCTGTTTAACATTACGTTTTTTCAATCAAATTCAACTCAAATCCTAATGTCAAATAGAATAGTAAAAATGATTAAAAAAAAACCCCAACAACGCTCAATTGGTACATAATCCATTGATTTTGGAACGAGAGTAGAGAATGCAATATTTCATTCATACAAGCGAAAGGTTTAGATAAATTTTTTAAGTTGAATTAAAATTAAAATAAAAAATTTAAATTGATAAATTAAAAGATTTTTTTGTATAAATAAATGTAAAGTGCATATGTAGTATTAAATCTTTATGAGGGTTTTATTTTACTCCATAAATTTTAAATTGTTCCAAAATAATTCAAAACTTTTTGAAATTGGGTCAATACGATCCTTTAATGAAATTTTGTAAGAAAATTACAGCTTAGGGTAATAAATTCAGAATTATTACTTTTTGTTAATCGTATTAAAATATATTTATTGAAAAATAAATAAATTTTTAACATTTTAAAAAAAGAAATAGAACTATTATTTTTGTTATTGGTTTTAAAAATTCAATTTAAAACCAAGGGCAAAATGATAATTTACTTTCTTTCGTAATAATTGTAAATATTTTATATACATTCTAATAAATATATTTTGACATAAAAGCAAAGAGTTATAATTTTGATTCCACCATATATTTATTTTTTTCTTTTCAAATTTTATTTTTCTTATATTTATAAATTTTGATAAAAAAATATAAAATTAAATCTTACTAAAAATAAAACTAGAATTTTTTTTAAAAAATGAAACATACTTGAATGATGTTTTAACACCTAACTAAACATAAGTAATAATAATTTATAACCTCAAAAAGTTTTTTTAAAATTATTACTAGTGTAACTAGTATAATTTAAATTTTTTTAAAATTATGCTAACTTAACACAACTAACTTATTTACTACTATAATCTCCAGAGGAAATATCTTATTTGAAGTAACTCATTTAAAATCATTTAGCAAATGAGCGTAATTCTTTTAATATTTAAGTTTAAAATTATAGTTAGAATGCAAACCTTATTAATTAAGTATTTGAGTATATGCAAAATTGTTATATTCTTTTTTCGAGAAAATAAATGTCAAGCACTAGAGAGTCAAAATTATTTGGATATATTTTATTTCTTTCTATTTTGTTAAATATAAATTCTAACTTTAATTTTAATAAGATTTAATTTTACATATTTATCAAAATTTATAAATATTGAAAAAATATTTTAATAAAAATAAAATCAAGATAATGAATCTAGAATCATTACTCTTTACTATCATTTTATAATGTATTTATTAAAAAATAAATTTTTTTATAATTATTACTATAGAAATTAAAGTACCATTTGGCTTTTGATTTTAAGTTGAATTTTTAAAATCAAGGGCAAAAATAATATTTATGTTCTTACTAAATTTATAAAATGTATTTTTTTATAATAAATGCATTTAAATTATTTGAGCATGTTTCATTTCTTTCTTTTTTTAAAAAAAAAAATAGTTTTATTTTTAATAGGATTTAATTTTATATTTTTATCAAAAATTTTAAATATTAGAGAAACAAAATTTAATAAAGTAAAATAAAAAAAGGAAATAAATTAGGATAATTGACCCAAAATTATTACTCTTTACTATTATACTAAAATGTATTTATTAGAAAGAAAATAAAATTTTTATAATTATTATGAAGGAAAATAAATTGCTATTTTTGCCTTTAATTTTAAGTTGAATTTTTAAAATCAAGTGCAAAAAAGATGGTTGTTTTTTATTCTTAAAAATTTTAAAAGTTTTATTTCTTTTTTAATAAATATATTTTAATATAATAGCTAAGAATAATAATTCTTTGATCTATTATCCTAAATAATAATTCTTGCAAATTTTGATCAAAGGACCATCTTGGCACTATTTTAAAGGGATTAGGACTATCATATAACAATTTAAAGTTTAAGATCAAAATGAAATCTAAATAGAAATATTTGAGGACTATAAATACACTTTATCTTATAAATCAAGTGTGCAATTTTTGAAAAATTTTTAAAAACTTTGCTATATTTTTTAGATAAGTATTTTACTAAAAATTTGACAAAATTTTTACCATGGAATTAACACTAATCAAATTTGGATTATAAATGTATTTTTTATTTTTTTACACATTATTAATCTTCTTCTTGAATTTTATCATTTATTTTCATTTTAGATTTTCTATTAACATTTTTATTAGATCGTTTTTATCAATATATCATTTTTAATATAAGAATTTCATAAACTTCACATAATAGAATTCATCCAAGTCTTACCCTCAATTATTTCTCATTTTCCCTATACATATACATATATATGATTGAGAATTTGTAAGCTCACAGGTGGTAAGAAAATATCATTTCCATGAGGATTGTAATAGAGTTAATACTAAGTACAAAAATTATAACTTCCTAATTATATTCTGATAAATTGAAGCTAATATATTAAAACTAAATTAAAACTACTTAACTAATCAAATCTAATGCAACAACTTAAGAAATAGAATTATCATACAAAGATACTGAATTAATTAAAATTGAAAGTGAAATTAAACTTAACAAACTTAATTTAACTCATGAAATCTTAAGAATAACATATTAATTCTAATTAACATGCTTAAATCATAAACAATGTAAATAAATTTAAATTGCAACTAACAAAACCGAACTCAAGTAAATTAAACTTTAAATCATGCATAAACATTAAACCTAATCTAATAACTTGAAATCATAACTTGTGCAACTAAATTTACTTTGAGAAACCTTAAATCAAATTAGAGCAGAACTAAATTAACCTTAAATTGCATGAATTGGATTTGAGTTAAATTAAAACAACAAATTAAAGTAAATAGAAAGAATAGAAAATTAAAGAGCTTGAACTTAAATTAAATCAAAACAACATTTAAATTGTTTGAAAACTTAAATTAAACTTGCTGAAATTTAAATTAACTTGAAAGAAACTGAATTAAATTGGAAACTTAAGAAAACAATGGCTGGGTTGT